GCGCACAGCTGTTGTAGCGCCATTCGCACTCGTAGCCGCCCTCCCGCAGGTTCCTCTCCTCACAGCTCTGGGCTGAGCGGACACACGCGGGCACGGCCGTTACCGGAGCCCCGGGGACCCTGCGCCGGGCGCGCCCAAGGCCTCGACAGACAGTGTGGGGCCGGCGGCCGCGAGGACCCCGGGGGCGGTGATGGAGCCCGGGACCTCCGGAGTCACGCCTGCCAGAGGCGTCGGGGTCTTGAGAGCACCCGAACCAGGAGCCTCAATCTGTTTTCCTTACAAAGCCGACCGGCGCGAACACGCAAGGAAGAGGCTCCCGGAGCGCATGCGCCGCTCGCGCCCACCGGCCTGCATGGCGGCGTCTGCCTGCCGACTCACTGACTCCCTTCTCCTCCTCCTCCCTGCTCCCACGCTCCCTCTTCCCGATTCCTCCAGAAGGGTCACTACCCACTCACATCTTCAGTCCTGTCTCTCCACACGCACACCCACGTCTTAATCCCCTTAGGCCCCGGCCTGCACCCCAACATGGGTCTCTGTCCTCCCGCACCCCGCAAGGCCTCGAGGTCCAGATGCGTGAGGGGCGAGGGGAGGGTGCCTGGGATCGCGAGGGACATCGGGACTCACGGCACAACGTGGCCGTCCTCCAGGCCACCACGCTGCCGTGCTGGGCACACACGTGGGCGTAGGCAGCAACAGTGTCACAGAAGCAGGCGCAGTCCCCAATGGACTCACAGGAGCAGGTGTCATAGATGCAGGTGTCCAGGTATGGCTCCGGGTCCACCTGCAGGGAGACACAGGGGGCCTGGGTCTGGGATGGGAGCTGGGGTGGACTCGGGCGCTCTGGCTCTTGGTCTGGGCAGGAACGTTCTGGTGGCCAGAGTAGGGAGGGGGCCCCGGGTAGAAGGAAAAATGAGAGGCAACGTTCCCAAGGAGGGAAGGAGGAATGGAGTGCAGAGGCAGAATTCCTATGTTCTCATCCGGATTCCAGCAAGAAAGAGGGAATAAAGCAGCCCTGCCCACCTCTCATAGAACAGAGCTGCCTACAGATTTCCCAAAAGGACATTCCTTTCCGTCCGTCTGTCCACTTACCTGCTCAGCTATCCATCCACCCCCATAACCCACTCCCACCCTCCTGGGTACCTGGGTGTTTTACATAAACACAGCACACACACACTGGTCACACTCTTTCTGGCCTCCACGCAGCGAAGAGACTGAGGAAACACATCAGGACCCATTCGCCTTGCCTCGCCGAGGTGCTGCAGGCTAGTGGGCCGGACAGCGGGGCGGGCCGGGCGATCCTGGACTCTGACCCCAAGCCTACCCGAGGGGTAGCCCACCCGCCGCCCACGTTCCATCACAGTCACCACCTCCAGCTTTCACCTGCCCCAGACATGCCCCACACACCCCGGCTTGTTCAGGGCAGTTGTGATGGAGTGAATTCAGACATTAAGTGGGTCACTGTGTGCAAAAGTCCTGATTTCCCTGACCCCTCACCGTCTCTTCCAGCTCCAGTGCCCAGGGTCTCCACCAGACCAGGGAATCTAAGAACCCGCTGGAGTCTCAGGGACTAAGAGTCACTGGGTGGACAGGAGGAGCGCTGAGATGCAGGTGCTCGTGCCGTCACTCCCATGGGACAGGGGCCACGTGTGTACACGGCAGTGTGTGTGCGTGTGTGTGTATATGTTCATATATACACAAGTACCCCTTACACACACGTGTGCGTCTATACAGTCATATAGAGGCAGAGAGAAACTGTGGGGAATTCCTCCTCACCAGTGAGAGCAAGACACAAAAAGGAGCCACAAAATGAGGGCTCACAACCACAACCACAGGCTTCAAGGCCAGGAAACAGCTTCCATGAGACGAGACCCAGGAACCCCGGGCAGGGACGGGGTGCCTGCGGCCAGCGACACGGCAGAAGCAGGAGAAACAAACAAACAAACAAACGACCAGAAACGCCGCCCTCGTGTTGGAGACGAGATAAGCTGCGGGGGAGAAGCTCTAAGACTGAGCCTGAAAGAGCAGCAGGGGCAGATCCCCAGAGACCCGCACGCTGCGCAGAAGAAAAATGATTTTCTCCCCTCATAAACCATCGCTTACTCTTTGTGCTGCCCAGCCTGCAGCCAAGAGAGGTGAGCAGACACAGGTCATTTCTGAGGCTCCCAGTCACGTCCGCACTTAGACGCACCCACTCCCGGGACCCAAGCCCCTGCGCCAGCCCCTGGCGCTCCCGGCCCCCAGGCGCCCGCCGCCCTCACCAGCATGTTGCAGTCCCGGAAAATGTCACTGGTGAGGATCCTGCAGGAGGAGTCCACCATCGTCTGCTTTAGGACGCTGCTGCGGCAGGTGGCAGGGGACGCGTCCAGCGGCACCTGGGGAGCCGGGCAGGGACACCCAGGCGGACTCAACACAGTCAGCCTGGAAGGACCCAGGAGGCCCTCTCCCAGAGCCCCGCCGCCCACCGCCCACGGGCCACACACAGGGGGCCCAGCGCACCTTCCTGGCGTCAGCGCACTGCGCGCTCACTTTCCAGGAGTTCCCGAAGTCCACGGGGTCCTCCTCCACCTGGAGGCTGCTGCTGGTGAGGTCATTGTTCTGGACACCGTCGAAAGTCCCACACAGGCCACACACCTGCTCCTGAGGACAAGGTGGGAGCATAAGCTTCACAGACCTCCAAGCAAACCCTCCAAGTCAGGAAAAGGAGGGACCAGGTGGCAAAGGAGGCAGGCTCGCCTGAGGAAGAGGAGGATGGGACGAGGTCAGGGAGGGAGACCCCGAGGGAGACCAGAGTAACCAGCAAAGCCTCCTGGCCAAGGCCTTTCCCGGCTTCCGCACTGACCCCATGTTAAGGTGAGGGAAACCGAGGTCATGGACAAAGGGAGGCAGCCCGCCCATGCCCCTGAGATGGCCAGTGAGGCAGCCTGGGCCTGGCGTCTGCAGGATGAACCATCACCTGCCCCACGAAGGCCTGAGCAGAAGAGGAGCTGGTTCCGCGTTAAATCGGTGAGTGTAAGAGGTCCAAGGAGGGAATGTTCTCGTCCTACTTGACTGTGGACCGGCGAGTCCCTTACCTGGGGGCCTGTAGCCTGTTCAGAGCAGGCTGGCCAGGATTCTGCTGTGAACTAAATACCACCAGAGGTGGCACAGCATCTTATTTCTGTGTCCATCCCTCACGAGGTGCAGTATACAAGTTCTGAACAGCTAATAAATGAATAGATGGGGCCATCCCACAAGAACTGTGGACAGAACTGGAGCTATTTGTCCTGGAAAAGAAAAGGAGCCAGGCTCTTAGAACACAGCTGGGTCCCTATCTTGGGACAAAGAGATGCGACTTGTTCTGTTCTGCTGGGAGTTAAGTAAGAAGAATGTTCTTGTGGGTGGACAGAAGGACAAAGACCTTTACGCGGCCTCACAGCCCACACGTTATGGCCCCTGCCTCCTCCCTGCCCTTGTAAACCACCGGTCACCCCAAGTCCCTCCTCTCCAGCCACTCCGGCCTCCTTGTTCAAACACTCCAAACGCTGTCCACCTCAGGGCCTTGGCACGTGCTGACCCGCCTGCCTAAATTCTCACGTCCAGATAGTCACATGGCTCCCTCCCTCCCTTCCACAAAGACCCTACGCACACATCATCTTTTCAGACAGTTTCATCAGACCAAGTCATCTACAATGAGTAACATCCCCAGTAGAATATGAGCTCCACTGGGGTGTGGTAGACAGAACCACGGCCCCCCGAGAAGATGTCCACGTCCTAAGCCCCAGACCCAGGAATATGTTAACACACATGACAAGATGTGACACGTTTACACCTTTGCAGCTGTGATTAGGTTAAAGGTCTTGAGGTGGGGGAGATGGTCCTGGGTCATCTGGGTGGGCCTGGTGTCATCACGGGGTCTTATAAGGGGCACAAGAGGGGTCAGAGTGAGAAAGACGATGTGACGGAGGGAAGTGGGGGCGAGGGGGGGGCGCTGTGCTGTTGGTTTTGAAGATGGAGGATGGGACCGCAGCCAAGGGATACAGGCAGCCCCCAGAAACCAGAAGAGGCACAGACACAGATTCTCCCCTAAGGCCTCCAGAAGGAATGCAGCCCTGCCAACCAATTTGTACTTCTGACCTGCAGAACCAGAAGAGAATCATTTGTGTTGCTTTTTTAAGCCACTGAGTTGGCAGTAATCGGTTATAGCAACCACAGGAAAGTAATACAAGGGTAAGAGATACACATACAAATCTAATACCTCTGTCTGTCTACCTATCCATCCATCCATCTATCTATCTATCTATCTATCTATCTATCTATCTATCTACCTATATGTAGCCATTTCCCGCTGTGCCCACAGTGCCTAGAACAGTGCTTGACACGTGACAGGCGCTCAGCAAGGGTTTGCTGAACAAGTGAGTGACGTGTTACTGCTTTCCAGAAATGGAACGGGCTCCCACCAGGAGTGCCGGCTGAGGATGAAGGATGCTATGGGAGATGCTGGGGAGGGCGTTCCTGCCACCAGCACAGACAGAGCTCTTGCCACATACATGCTGGTTAGAGAAAACGCAGTCCCAGCCAACCGCCGGAAAGTGGACAAATACTGCAAGCCTTCCCCTCAGCAGTGCTGGCCCGTGGCTCCGCGAGAAGGCAGCACCTGGGTGCTGTGCCGTGTTACAGTCACTTCGTGCGTGGCTGTTTGCCCCTTCAGGGTAAGAGACTTTAAGAAAAGCTACTGCCCAGGTCTTTTCCTTCCTTCCTTCTTTTGTGCATATAAACTACATGCCTAGCAAGGCCAGTCAAGGAACGGTCTGCAGGGTCCAGAGACCCTCCATCCTTCCCACGGGCAGCTAGTCTCAGGAAACAGCCGGAGCGAATTCGGATCCACGAGGCCACGATCTTATTTGCCTGGGGAAGGGGACTGCATTAGGCTTCCACCTACCTTCCCCCCAGACGAGGAAGAGGAGGAGGAGAAAGGCCACCTACCTGGTAAGTCTGCTTCAGGAACACGGAGACGCTCAGGTGGCGGTCCCAGACCACGGAGATGGCCTTGCCCAGCAGGACCGTGATGTACCGGCCGGACTCCACCACTTCGAAGTGCGTCTCATCTTTCATGGGCCTCTTCACACTCACCTGCAGGTATAAATGGGGGTATGTAATATACATGTATTTATGTGTGTATATA